CAGCAAGCACCGGGGTGCCTGTTTGGGCTTGGCGGGGTGCAGGCGCACCCATGCGAGTGGGAGCATCACCCCGAGCCGAGCCGAGCCGAGCCGGGGCAGCCAGGGCCCCGCTGCGCCCGTGGCACTTAAATCCGAGCAGGCATTCACAGGCAGGGGCCCACTGGAGTCTGGTGTCAGACTGCGGGACCTGCTCCCACATCCACTGGAGAAGTCCTGCTCTGCCCCCTCGTGCTCTGCGCTGCCTCGCGCCTCTCGATGAGAACAGAATCTGGCTGAAGATGCTCTGATAACATCGGCAGCAAAATGCAGCAACAAAAAATTGTTTACCTTATTTAGCAGCATAAGGCTGATCCTGGTGCAGGGCATTCCTGGAACATAGTGAAAAGCCAGGATTAAGTGCACTGCTTAAACTCTGTTTCTTATGGTGAATGCACCCACAGGGGTGGGATGCTGCCAGGCCAAAGCTTTGCCACCAGTCCAGCTCTGCAATGTAGTTCTGTCTGAAGAGACATTCCTACTGTCTCTTTTGTACCTCTTGGTCCTTGTTTTTCTGTGCTCTGTTTTTGTTCTTTCACTTTCAGAAAAGTAGGGATCCTTCTGCCTCCTCTCTCCAGGGACTCGGACTTTGGCAGCAACACCAAACAGGTTGGGGAACCTTCCTCAGAGCCCAGCCAGAATTGCTGCTAGTCCTGCATGACAGGGTTTGTCCTAATAATAATAATAATAACAACAATAATAATTAATAATATCTTTTTTAGTTTTTCAACTTCTTAAATCTCTCTCTGGTTTCTTGTGTTTTGAATACATAATTGGATAATTTCCAGGGTGGAGAGTTACTCACTAATTGTATATACATGAATCACAACATCTTTCGTGCGTTTGCCTTGGACCGAGTTCCCATATCCCAGAGGCCATTTCAAGCTTCTAGAGTCTGTTTACCTCCTTTGGTGTCATAACTGTAATTTGAAATTTTACACCATTTTGCATGAACAGATTTCAAAGCACTTTCTTGCCACTCCTAGAAACAGGAAAATTCCCACCTGCCTTCCCTTTCTCTGTCTTGTCTCCTGCAAGTTCATTTTTGTTTCTATATTCATGTGGCAACCTGTCTGGCCAGCCCAAAGCCCCATTTCCTTTAGAGGAGGAAGAAAAACAACAAAAATAAACTTGCAGGAGAAAAGACAGGAAGGAGAGAAGGCACCTCCTGAGGCAGTAAGAGCTGTCCATGGAAACAAAGGCACCTCCATGGTGAGTCTCAGGGCTCCCAGGATATTCGAGGTCCCAGAATATGGTGCCCGGACACTGCAGGTCCTGCACAGAGGCTCTAGTACCGGGCTTTCAAAGGCAGCAGGCCTGAAGACAAGACCTGTTCATGTAAAATGGTGCAAAATAGCCATGGCTGTGGCAGCTCTCCAGGCCCTGTGCGTTTGGCTTGCTCACACATCATCTGGAGATGGAAGCTTCCTCATGGGGACAGGCACGGAGCACGGGGCTGCTGACTCTCAGGGCTGGAGCTGGTGGTGTCCCACAAGCAAAGGGTATGCCCAGAACTTCTGGTCCCTGCAGTGCCTCCTCTGGAGGCTTTTCCTGCTGGTGAGAGCTTGGGCAGCTTCTCGGCTCTCCTAAGCAATGTTGAGGATCTCATCACAGGGTTGAGAGGACGATGTCACTCCGGCCGCTCGCCCATCCCGTGGCAGATGGAAAGGTGCTGGGGGGGTTCTCTGCAGCTGCTGAAATCCCAGCTGGGGACACGGCGTGGTAAGGCAGCCTTTCCCTGGGGAGCCAGGTCCCCACCAGGCCTGGCCGGCTAAAGCTTTCAGCCAGGAGCCGATTTCAGGGTGGCCTGGGGTGTGCAATGGGACAAGCTCACTTCTGCACTAAGCCAGGTTGGCTGCAGGTAGAACTTCATGGGTGGCGTGGCACGGCCCTGCCCCAGCCCTCAGCTGGCTGGATTTTATCTGCAGCTCCAGATTACTCTAACAAGAGGGTTTTCTTTGCTGGCAGCAGTCAGTGCCAATGCCTGCTGAGCCTTGTCTCTGAAGTGGACAACTGAGTAACCCAAGAAAACCCCGGCCAGTGTAGCCCATCCACATGTTTCCCCCGCAGGCAGTGCTGCCTTACCCCATGCCCAGCATGCACCCAGCGCCGCCTCGCCCCACGCACGCCCCACGCACGCCCCACGCACGCCCCACATGAGAACCGCACGCAGGGCTCCTCTCCTGCCCACCCCCACCGCCCTCGGCCTCCAACCCCTGCACCCTCCATGTGCTGTGCACGCACCCTGTACGCCGGCCTTGCAGCCGCCTCATCACCCAGAAATGTGAGGGAGGCTTCATTCTTGCATGAAGCGTTCAGAGAGCGTGTTTGGTGCCCCCCCCCCCGCCTTTGCCCTGGTTTCCCTCCAGCTCTCCTCCATCCTGTCCTTCCCCCCCCCCTCCAGCTTCCTGCCCTTTGAAGTGCCTCCCCTCCTCTGCTCCAGGGTACAAACTGCTTGCCAGATGGAGATGACTTCTCCCCACCCCACAATTAGGTGCAATTAAAAGGTTTTGCTTCCCCCCCCACACCCCCCCCCACACACCCCGAAACCCCTGCTCTGGTGTGCACTGAAGGTGGCTGTGCTCAGGAGCAGAGTCCTGCTCCGGGCTAAGGACAGGCAGGACATGAAGCAGGGCCCTGGTGTGTGCAGGCGAGCGGTGCCGGTGGGTGCTGGGGGTGCGGTTACAGGAGGGTTCTGGTGGTGCTGCAGGTGGGTTGGCCACTGAACACGTCCTGGCCTGGTGGCCCTGAGCAGGGACTCAGCTGCAGAAGCCTGAGCCTGCTCCATCCCAGCACGGGAGCAGCAGATACCTGGGTGCTTTCCGCCCTGGTCAGGCAGAGCCCAGAAATGTGCCCCTGGGGAAGGCGCAGCCGGCGCTTGCATGGAGACAGGTCCCAGCAGCGAGCTCAGCTGTCAGCTCTCATCATCTGTGCTTCGAGGCGTGCAGCGCCTCGGCACCCGTGGGGTGCCCCTTGGCTGGCAACAGCCAGCAGAGGAGTGGGGAGACCCCACGCACTGCAGCCCCTGAGCTTCTGAAGGTGCTGCCTTTGGCTGGGGTTGGGACCCATGTGTCTCCTACCAAGACACAGGTTTGATTCCACTGCAGTTGGTGCTGGCTGCAAGGGAGCTGATGGCTACAGCAAAACCCATCCCACATGTCATCCCTGTTCTCACTGGGACTCTAGGAGTGTCAGCTCTTGGTGGCTCGTGGCTTCTCATCGTCTCCTGGCCACGTCCCAGGTGCTTGCACACTGCTGCAGCAGGTTTCATGGAGCAAGGCTGGGTGAATGCCTCGCTGCTCCAGTGTGGCTTCGGCTGCAGGGTGCCGGGAGCCACAACTGCAGTGCCCAGCCACTGGGGCACATCTCCAGCAGGGCTGGCACTGCAGGGCAGCCCTTGGGTGCTGAGCAGTGCCCAGAGGCCATAGCGAGCATGAGCCTCTCCTGCTACAGCAGGGTGAGGGGCTTCCTCAGAATGGCTCCATCCAAGGGCAAAATGCTGCCACCACAGCCACGGAGTCCTCGCTCCATCCCGCAGGAGAGTGCTCCGTGTGCAGGTGCAGATATGCACACAGACGCACCTCCACGTGCTTGTCCTCACACACACAGGGCAAATGCTCTGCTGTGACCAAGGCCGGCTGTTCTGCCGTGCTTTCTCCTCTGGTTGCTCTGCAGGATGCAGGCAGCCAAGCTCAGGAGAAAAACTGAGCCTGCTGATCTGCTGTGGGGGTTGGATCTCAACCCTGCAGTGCACTACGCCATGGCAGTGCTTGTATTGTTTGGGTCAGGGCGTCTGTCCACGGTCTTTCTGATTTCTGATTGTGATACCTGTCCATATCACAAGAGGTGCAGATGAAGGTGGGGCTTGCAGGGCACCTCTGACATGGGCAGCATGAGCAACCCCAGCAGGGACACGCATACAGTGGCTGCCAAACCGCTGCGGGAGTGGTGTGCAGGCAGAGAGAGCCTCTGCCTGCTCCCCTGCCCCATGCCAAGTGTTGCTGGCAGGGCTGGCTGAGCTCTTCACCCCCGGCCGGCACTGCTGGGTCTGTGCTGGCTGAGCCGTGCTCAGCCACGATGGCCATCGAGGACCTGGGAGCACCTCGGCTGTGGCTGTGTTCCAGGGCACAGCTCAGCAGCACAGCCTCAGTAAGGGACAGGACTGAGCTACTTGTGGTTTTGGGGGTGGCACTGGGGCAGCCAGGGTCTCAGAAGTGTGTGTGTGCATCTGTGAGTAAGGCACACAGCGCAGCATGTAAAAACACACCTAGAGAGAAAGTCTCAACAGAGATTAGATTAAAAGAAAATTTAATTAAACACAGAAAGCAGCATCCTGTCTGTTACTCAACCTTCCTTGCATAACTCTCGGGACCGGCTGCTTTCACAGATGGCTGCGCTGCTGTCAAAGTCATTTGCTGGGCACCTGTTGGAAAAACTGCCAGGTCAGCACAGAGCTAATTGCACCAGCATCCTTCCTTGCAGTGAGATTTAACGATCTAGAGGAAAAATTGCTGAGAAGTCTTGCAGCTCCCCAGATGAGCCTGTGATGCCTCCTGCTACTTAATCCCTCCCCCTGTACTCCTGCAAGTGACTGAGATAGGGACGAGGACGTTGCAGTGGCCCCTGGCAGAGGGGGTTGCACATCCCCCCCGGGAGCACGGCGATGGCTGCTGCTGGGCCAGAGGGAGCAGGATGGGAACCACGGCTGTCCCCAGCCCCTCTCAAAGGCTGTGGGATGTCTCCCCTTCCCCTGCCGCTTGCACCCAGGTCTGAGGCTCTCGTGAGCAGCCCAACGGCAGCGAGCTCTGCAGCTGCGGGGCGATACCCAGACACGTGGGGTGACTTTGTTTGCCTGGGTGAGCAGCCAAGTTGCAGCCCATCTCCAGCTTCATACCAGCTGCAGATCTAAGGCAGCTGACTGACCTACCAAAAAAACAAAACACATCGAGGACCAGGGAGTGGCTTGTGCTAGTGCTGAATAATGATGATCCCAGCACGCTTATAAAATGATGAGGCAGAGCGCTCACCACAGAGCTGTTCCTTGCAGCCCTGGTCCTCTGCAGAGCATCCCAACGCCTCGTCAGCCAAGGTATGTTCCTGAATTAAGCGATTCAAAATGGGAACTGTGTTTGTGTCCGCAGTGGGGGCCATGCCCTGCAGCTGGAGGCAGACTGGGCTTTTCTTTTAAACTTGGGGAAAATGCTACCGTTGTTCCTGTGGAGGAGTTTCTGGCCAGGGAAGCAGAGCAGCCCCGTGCTGCAGGATCTGTAGGTGCCAACCTGCCCGAAGCAGAGCCCAAAATATGTGGGCAGCATCCTGGCTCCAGGGGCTGCTTGGGGGTGAGCAGCACAGCTCCCGCCTCTGCTCTGCAGGAAAACGTGTCCCTTCCCTCCTTGCAGCATGCTTTCGGGGGTCAGTTCATGTTTTATTTGATGTTGATTTGAGTCTTGACCAACTTCCCCAGCCTGCAGTGCTATGTACCTCCCGGCACATGAAGACCTCCCGGAGGCAGCTGCGCTGGGTCTCCCACTGCCTTGCAGGGCCAGGCAGCCCTGGCACACGTGGGGGTGTCCCTCTCCCCACGCAGGCTCCTGTACACTTTTGGCTTCCACGTCCCAGGGCCCTGGCTCTGCCCCAGGTCTGCAGCATGTTCCTGGTCCTCCAGCATTTTATAGCAAACATCTCTGCATTTCCCCATGCCTCAGCTTTGGACAGATGATGATGCTCCTGCATGTCCTTGGGCATTTATCACCCCTGCATCTTGATAGCTGTCAGGTGTGGGTGATGGGTACAAGTGCTCTCACCGGGAATTGATGCAGAGCTGCTGGGCATTTTGGGCTGGGGACTTACTTGGCACAGAGCCTTTGTGCTCTTCTCATGATCCTTTTCTCCTTGCTGCAGATGTTCTGTCCTTCTTGCTGTATTTCATACAAAGTTCTGCTCCAGGAAGGCCCCAGCTCAGCTATTTTCCTCTTCCCCAGGTCCATTTCCCACCTGCATCCCAGCGCAGCCATGCTGGGCACAGCAGTGCGGCTCTCGGTCCTGCTTGGCCTCCTCGGCGTTGGGAAAGGCCAGATGTTTCACATGGGACCATGCCCAGATCCACCAGTCCAAGAAGACTTCGATATCAACAAGGTGCAAAAAGCTTTCTAAAAATCTCACACTGGGTAGCCAGTTAAGGCTAAGGGGGCATGGGACAGATGGCAAAAACTGCCCGGGTGCATGGGGGGGCTGGCAGGTCTGGTCTTGACACCTTGTGCCGGCGCTGCCAGTGCATGTCTGCAGCCCCACTAACCCCCCCGCGGCCTCCTGTGCCACGGAGGTGGATGCTCAAACCAACCCAGCAGGCAAAACCATGCTGGCAAATGAGCCGGGCTGATCTGTCTCAGCTCTCTCATGCTAAAAGCATCTCTCTGGGCTTTCTTCTATCAGTATTTGGGGAAATGGTACGAGATAGAGAAGCTGCCGTCAAGTTTCGAGAAAGGAAGCTGCATCCAGGCAAATTACTCGTTGAAGGAGAATGGGAAGTTCAAGGTGATCAACAAGGAGCTGCTGTAAGTGTTTGCGCTCAGGCCATGTCCTCGCTGCAGCAGTGGCACTCCTGTCACCTCTCTTGCTGTCCTGGGCGGTCACTTTTCTGCAAATTGTCTGGTTTTGGGTCTGTCATTGCTGGGGGAGGCACACTGTGGTTGTACTAACTCTGCTGGGATAATGGGCTTTGCTATGGTTATGGCAAAGGTATGGGTCTGGTTTCTGCCAGTGCCTCCCTGGGGCTCACTGGGCTTCTGTCTTGTTGTCCAAGGTGAGTAGTGAGAAAATAGATCAAATGCACATGGTGACTCCAGTATGAAATAGCCGGGGTCTCCCCGCTGGCTGGTTTGTGATGCCCAGTGACAGCTGAGAAGCCAGATGCCCTGGGTCCTGCCCGAGATGGGTCCTGGGGTTGGTTATGGGACAGCAGCCACCATGTTGTGCCCCTGCATGTTGAGAGGTGCCTGGGCCCTGTGCTCCTCTCTGCTCCCCAGTAAAGAGACCCGATGAAAACGGGCAGGGAAGGTGAAGCACATGGATCATTTTTACTTAAGCAAATATTTGTCGGCCTTTTTCTGGAGCATTTACATTGCACTAGTAGTAACTGCTGTGTAAGGGGATAGGCAATTGTTGCCAGTTTGAATCAGTGAGCAAAGTGAATGCCCCGATTGTTCCCTTTATTATACTTGATAGTTTGCAATTATCCCGAGCCCTCCTGACTTTTGGCATGGACAGATGCAGACATTAATTCATCTGTTTCATCACCAGCCCGGCTGGTGGGGTGCTGCTGTGAGAGGCTGAATGAATGAGAGGGAGCGAGCGGCGAACGCAGCGCTGTCCCCTGCGCTCCCTGGCATGGCATGGGGACTTTGTTCTGGCTCACAATAACAACAACACAGCAACACATCCCTTGTGTCCAGCAGAGAGCCGCGTCCATGCCGCTCGCTGACCACGCAGCACTGTCTCTGCAGCTCCACGGCTAGGGCAGCGCCTGGCAAACAGCTGGCTATTTATTTGTGCCTGCATTAATCTGCGGGAGATTAATCTGACTGTTGGTGTCACCACTTCAGCAGCTCAGGACCCTGAAATGTCAGGAATATTTTGAGTCAAGTGTGCACTGTGCATGGCTCCAGCATCAACCCCTCGACCTCTTCTGCTGCTGGCAGCGTTAGCTTCTGCCTCCTTGGGTGTTCCTGTTTCACAGGGAAGCATGAAACTTTTCTGACCCACAGGCAGCGTCCAGGTGTTGAGGCATCTGGGGAAAAATTATAAGATGGGCAGCCCAAGTTATAGGGCTTGCTGCCAGCAGGGCAGTGCTCTGAACCAGCAGCAAAGCAAACCCTGGCTCACCAAGCAGGGACAGGTAATTTGTGTGCAGACGAATGTGCCGTGACCTGGAAAAAACACAGGTGATTAAACAGACATGAACACATGCCTTCCACAACTAGCAGGAGTTGAGCTGCTCTCTGGCACATCTGAGATCGGTGCTGGGATCCTCCCATCCTGTGCAGAGGGATCTTGCTCTCCCTCTTCTCTGTCACCATCCCCCTGGCACTGAAGCACACCCCGCTGGCAGGGGCATTTGGAGAGAGAGGCACCCTGGGGTGCTGGGGCGGTTTAACCTGGGAGAGCATTTGCCCCGCTGAGCCTGGCCCAGGATCTGGTGTGCCCTGGACACTGCTGAAACCGTCCCTAGGGTCAAGCTGTTCCTCTGGGGATGCTGTGGTTAGCTGGTACGTGTTTCAGCCACCTCTTGGCAGGTGGATGCGTCAGGAGGGATGATTTAGTGGAAGCAAAAAGAAAAAAAAAAAAAAAAAAGTGATTTCAGACTCACCTGATTTTATTTCTCGTCTTGTTGTTCTCCCCGTAGTTCCAATGGCAAAATCAACGAAATCGAAGGAGAAATCATGCATATGGATGTCAAGGAGCCGGCCAAGCTGGGTGTCCGCTTTAACTGGTGTAAGTGTGTGGCTGGGAGGCTCGCAGCCTCCTCCAGCTCCCTGGGGCCCAGTGGCCTCCGCAGCGCAGGAGGGCAGGGGGGCAGCGCCTGCACGAAGCCGGCACCGCTGCCGAGTCAGCAGGGCTGCAGAACTAGCGAAGCAAGAGGCAAAGCTGCCCCGGTGACTCCAGTGCAGCACAACAGGGCAATGGCAAAGGGTTAGGGCAGGTGCTGTGACCAGCAGGCAGTGGTTTAGTGATATTTATACATCATTTACAGCGACAGCCCCTGCAGTGCTGGAGTGCTCTTTACCAATGGATCTCAAAGCAAGGAAGATCAGCAGCATTACTGTCCCTCCAGGTTGTTTCACAGATGGGGACAAGGAGCAGGGGAGAAGTGGGGGAGGCAACCCCACAGCTGCTGCAAGGGCCGGGAGTAGGCTTGTGTTTTCCGAACAAAGCGATAGAGCTACTAGCCCACTCTGCCTCTGCTTATATAATAACTGTTAATAATGTGGTTTTGTTTGCTGTTTCTTCCCTTGTCAATGTAGCCGAGGTGCAGTGCATTTTATTCATGTTGCAGAGCACTTTCCTCTGACCTTAGCAACATTTGGAAAATGAGCAGAAGTCTCCTCTTGGCTCCTTTTTTATTCTGCTCCTTTACACCTTTTCCCTGGCTGTTTCATAGCACTCACACAGATGAGTTATTTGGAGAAATGGGTGGAGCAGGGGTACTTGCAAAGGACAATTATTGTTTATGAGCACAGCCAGACTTAACTATGCACTGTGAAGGCATCACCTGCAGCCATTTTGCCTGCAGCATGTGCAACTCCAGTTCGTCCTCACTGGGCGCGAGCCCCACAGAGCAGCGCCCAGCATTCCTGAGTGCGTCAGAAGTAAATCCCAGGGCACTTACGCCTGCCTGCTGGACCCACCTCTGCTTTCTGCCTGACAGCTTGAAGCTGGAGTGGCTGTCCCTCCACAGAGCAGATGCTTTGGGCACAGCAGCCTGATGGAGACCAGAATTTGGCCCATGTGGCGGGAGCTGGTGGGGCGGCAGAGTCATGCTGATTCCCCCCACTCAGGCTCCGGCTGGCTGAGTGGGGCAGTAGGTGGTGGGGAGAGGGGGTGGTGGTTGTGCCCCTCAGATCACCGGTGTGAGATCCCAGTCCTAGGGCTCCTTGCTGCCGGCACGCACCCTCACACGGCTACCAGCTGGGCTGGCTGTCGGTGGCCCGGCTGAGCTGTTCAGGTCATAGTGTTAACTTTCCAGCAAGATCTTCCTAGTCAGGGCTTTGTGACTTTCTCAGGTCCCTCTGGGGAGAACAAGGAGTCCTGATAGGCTTTTATAAATTATAGCTCCCTGCACTGACCACAGTTATGTGGTTCGTGAGCAGCAAAAGGAGCCATGGCTCCAGTGCTGCAGAGCAGTCCAGAGTCGGTTACTCATGGCGTTCACAGTGCCCTTCCTTCTCCTAGTCATGCCTTCTGCCCCTTACTGGGTCATCTCCACCGACTATGAAAACTACTCACTGGTTTACTCCTGCACCAACATCCTCTGGCTCTTCCACATTGACTATGCCTGGATTAAATCAAGAGCTCCCGAGATGCACCCAGAAACCGTGGAGCACCTGAAGAGCGTTCTCCAGTCCTACAAGATTGACACCGACAAAATGGTGCCCACGGATCAACTTAACTGCCCTCCCGAGATGTAACTCCTGGAACGCAGTAACACAGCGCTAGACCAGCGATGGACTTTGTTGCTTTCTTTATTAGCCACTAGAATTTCTCTGTGTAACAGCGAAATGTAATAATCCTTTCGCTAATGGTAGTCTGACCTGAGTTGCTCCTTGCTGTCATTCCCTCTATTGCTCTCGCCTGCTTTTTCATCTCGCACTGACTTTTGCAGAGTAACTGACTGAATCAAAGCTAATGGGTGAAGGAAAGAAACCCTGAAGTGCAGACATGAAGCTCTGCTGTTGCTGTGAGTCCTCCAGTACATGGATGGGAAAGGGTATGAAATGTGATACGCAAGTATTAGTTCCCGTGGAAAACCTTTTCTCATGTGCCCCCAGGTTTGTTTCCCATTTTTGTCTTGATGCTTCTGGGCCTGCTAGGAGTCTACGGTGTCTAAGCTACACCTCGGGCACTGCCTTCCCAGTGGCAACATCCAGACACGGGGACTGGGGATCTTGAATGTTTTCTGGTGCAGGCCTGTAGGTGTATGTTACTGCCAAGTCAGCAGACCTTCTCACTAGAAGTCAGATCTGGCACTTTGTATTTAAAATCTAAGAAGTCTGAAAATGTCCAGAAATTCAGCAGCGCTCCAGCCCCAGTGTCTGGATGTGACTTGCCTCAAGTGAGGCTGGTCCTGCATCCCTAAGGGGTCAGCTCTGAGAGCACCTGTAAGCAGACGGAGAAAGACAGGTCTGTTCCCTTGTCCTCTCCTCCCAAGGCTTCTTCCCAACCCCAAGAGACAGCAGGCTCTGCCTGACATCCCACCCATGCTTTTCTACGCGCTGAGTGCCCGCTGGCACTGCATCTGCCCCGGCAGGTGCTCACCAGGCACCGCGACAACTCTGCTTGAATAGCATTGATGCAACTCATTAAAAATGAAATCAAAATACCCGTATCGGGGCTTTTGTAGCTTCCCAGCTGCAGGACCTTTCCGAGCAGGCCGGGGAGGGCTTGGCGTGCAGGGGCTTCCCCTCCTCTGAGGCCACGGCACTGTGAGAGCGGGAACGCAATGCGGCGCGAGCAACCGTGCCTCAAGTGAAGTGGTCTGCTCCGGGAGCGTGGGGGGCTTCCCAGCTCCCTGGGATTGGATGCGGCAGCCCCCCCGGTCGCCCGAGCCGTGCCAGCAAGCCCACGCCGTGGCTTTGTCCGGCAGGGCCCCCCATCTCCTGCCGCTTCTATTGGCATGAAGAAATAACACTGTGGACCTAGAGCACCGTAAACGTGCAGGGAATGTTCTGCGTTTACTCTGGCGGGACCCTGACCAGTGTGGGAGTGCAGCAAAGCGCTTCCTTGCCGGCGTTTCACCCGTGCGGTGGGGTCGTGGGCGGCTGTGGGGGGGGGGTGTCCTGGCAGGGGTGGGGGGCGGCTGCTGTGCCGGAGCCGTTATCCCGCTTCACTTTGGCCTCCCAACAACGCCGTCCCCGCGACACACAACCACGGGCCGCACCCGCGTCCCCAGGCTGCCAGGACGGTGGGCGGTGGCCCCCACGGGTGTCTGATTTGCGGGGGGTGGGCCCTATTCCTCCCTGCTTCACCGGATCCCGGTTCTCTTCCGCACACGGGGCGTGCGAGGGCCCTGCGTGAGCGGCAGCAGTGCCACACGTGCCCGAAGCCTCACCCACGCCCCAGCGCCCCGCCTCGGTGAGGGGAAGCCCCGGGAGGTGGCCACGACCCACGACACGCCCCCCCTCCGCGTGGGGAAGAGCCCCGCGCGCGGGGGACAGCGCGTGCGCAGCAGCCGGGGCTGTGACGGTCCTCCGGCCGCCAGGGGGCGCTGCCGAAGCGGCGGCGCGGGGGCCCCGTTCCCGCTCCCGTGCTGACGCGCGGCGCGGCGCGGCGGGGCGGGGCGGGGCCGGGCGGAAGCGGGCGGCGCGGCCATGGAGGCGCCCTCGGTGCCGGCAGCCTCGACGTCGGGCGCGGCGGGGCGCGGGCCCATCAAGGGCATCCTGAAGAAGGGCGGTGGCAAGTTGGCGGTGGGGGCAGCCGCCCCCGGGGCGCGGCGGGCCAGCCCGGCCCGCGACGAGGACGAGCACGGGTGAGGGCCGGGCCGAGCCCAGCCCAGCCGCGACCCCGGCGGTAGTGAGGCGGCGGCGGGGCCCAGCGGGGGCCTCCCCTCCGGCCCCGCTGCCCTCGGCCGCCTCGCTCGTCCGCGGCCGGCTGCCAGCCGGCGTCTCCCGTTCCCTTGGGGCGGGCGGGGTAGCGCTGGGCTCCCCGCGCTGCGGCCGCCCTGCAGCACCGAGCCGCTCGCCGGCGGGGCTCGGGCTGTGGAAGCGCCCCGCTGGGGCTGGATCACCGCCCGGGGCGGGGGCTGTGGAAGCGCCCGGGTGGAGAGGGTGAGGGGAGCAGGGGAGGTGGGGTCGGGACTTGCCAGGAGTGCGATGTGAAAGAGCTGGTGCAATTCTTTCTGAAGTATTAGCAGAAGCAGTGCTACCTCGCAGTGCTCGTTCATACAGACAAATGGGAAGGTTTTACAGTTGCTATGAGGATATTTTACAGTTTGGGAAATACTCTTTGCCACGGGAGATTTATTCTAAGTCTTCTCAAAGGTAGCGTGTTTCTCTGCAACCAGAAGCATGTCCCTGGGGAGAGGACCTCTCCGGGGTTGAAACATAAGTAAGATGTATTCTTGATAGTGCAAGATTCATCTGTAAAGATCTCACAATTGAGAATGTGTACTGGCTGTGTGGTTTGTGTTTTGAAATGACAAGAAAATCTTGGTTTAATTGTAATGTGCTGAGTGAATCCAGATATGCAAGAAGTGGTCTTTAGCCAGCCAGCAGCTAGCTGCCTTTGACCAGTAAGAATTCTTGCACTTTTCCTGAGGTTGGCATCCAGTACGCGCTGCCTAACGCTGCTCTGAAACACCATCACATTGTGATGACCAGGGCTTGACCTCAACTCTGTGTTTACAATATCACTTTTGATGGTTTTCTTCATTTGGGCTCTCACTTAGTATTGCAAGGAGAGAAGTAATGATAAAATAAAATAAACATGCAGTTGGTTTTTTTTTTTTTTTTGTGTTATGGTGATACTCCTTTCCTCTTCAGTTATGTCAGGAATATAGTCAAGAGTCAGCCAGGTAGGAATGTCAAATTTCTGGTTTTCTGTGTTGACTGTGTTAAGTGCTCCTGCTTTCCAGGGAGAAATTGTAGCAACTGAAGGAATGAGATGATGTTTTTGAAGGAGATGAATGTAAATAACAATATGCTACACAAATATTGTGATATTTTTTTCCCCATTCTTTAGTTTCAATATAATGTAGTGCAAGGCATTTCTTACCACACTGAACACAAAATAAAACTGGCTGTTGGCAGCCTCTGTTTAATTTTCTGCAGTCTTTTTTGTACCATCTTAAAGAATCATCAGCAATTAAGAGTACAAACTGATGAACTGCATATATGGCATATTGGTTATAGTATACTGTAATTTATCGTGAAGCAGTTAAGTGGACAGTGGCCCAGTTTCTATTTCCTGTTTACCAGTGTGAGTCAATAAAGTCAATTAGGTTAATTTTGAAATTGCCTTGCAAGTTAAATGATATTGGCAAAACCTGGTAGGCTGCATTAGAAGATTTCCTGGAAAGATCAGTATAGGGTATTTAAAGCTGGTTTGTGTGCCGGTGTTATTTTTGGCAGTGCTTCATTAAATCAGTATCATTTCTGACTTCAGCAAAATAATTTTCTACTTAATTATAAATAGTACAGCTGTAATTTTTCCATGAAGATTAAAAATTAATGTATAAATTCATGTATCTGTTTTCTTTGTGCACCTCAATCAGCAGTCTCTCTGTTTATTTCTGGTATTGAAATTTAGGTCTGAATACCTTTAAAAATAGCTTCAGATGAAAGAGCTCATTGTGTCAGCTGCCATCCTTTAAAGCACCATGTTCAGTAGAGCTAGCATGTATTTGCATCATTATTGACCTTGCACCGTTGTTAGTGATGGTAAAATTCTTTGGGAAACTTCTGTAATGAAAACATGGTGGAAGAGGGAAGCTTGTGAAATTGGGACACGACTGGAATTGCATCCTAAGAGCTGAGATCGTGTTTTAATTGCAGATACGTTCTTGGCATTCCTGGTATACAGTATTTTTTGCCTTAAGGCTCCTGTAAGAGCCTGTGAGTGATCTGATATTTTACAGAGTGTGTGCAAGCACCTGTGTTGGAATGGGCCAGAGGGAAGCCTGCTGTGGTCAGAGCGAGTGAGCTGTGAGCGGTGTTGCTCTGAGCAATACTGCTGCAGAAACTTCTTGTCTGTCAAGGTGTGGTGTCAAAGTAAAGGATTTTATATATTTAAAGATGTGAGAGAATACAAATGAGAACTTGTGAGATTTTTCAAATCTGATTTTCCTAAGGAAGATTAGATTTCCTATTGCTATATGTGAAAGGCTGTCAGGAAGTATTTTCCTGTGACGGCCCATACTAAGCTCTATCATTAATGTTATGCTGCTCAGGCATGCCTAAGCATGCTAAATTGGAGACAGTCAAGGGAGGTGTGGGTTTTTAGAGCACTGAGTCACTCTCCTGTGATGGCTTTTTACATGGAGGGGTGAAATGACATGTTTGTTTGCCACTAATGATATTTTTTTTTCCTGTCTGAATTTTAAATTGTGCTTTGGGAGGTGTTTCACACCAAAGGCCTTTAGTGTTGAAAACTGAGTTTAAAGAAATGAGTGTAAAAAACCTAAACCACTAAAAGCTTCCTCATTCTTGCATTTCTGTCACTGAATGGCTAGCTGTAGGCTAATTTCAAGAGCAGTGTATGCCAAACTGATTCTCCTAACATTGCCAATATTATTATTGGGTATTGAGTTGTGAGCCCAGGCCATAAACCTTGATGTGCTCTGGGCAAGTGCAGTGAACACAAAGGGTGTGATGGAAGTTCCTCCCATCTATCAGATTTCCTCTTCAGTGAAGCTCTGTCTTGACCAGGGGCTGCGTACCACTGTCCAGCTGCTACGGCTAGTAGAAATTCTTAGGTGCTCACTATGTAACTGTATGATCATCTTATATTAGTCATAGATGAGCTTTAAGCAGGTGTTTAGCTGATGTTTAACTGGTGATTTTTCGACTCCTAAATAGATAGGTTTGAATAACTGGCATTCCTAGTCTAGAGCTCTTGCTTTGTCATCATGAAGCTCATGACTCTCCACCCTGCCAGAGCAGGCAATCTGACTCACGTGTTGTCCGCTTAGGTTGCAATCCTTGTGTTGCAGTTCAAACAAAATGATTAAATAGATCTGAAGCCTCAAACTGTGAGAGTTTGACATTGGTTACTGTATGCTAAGGGTATTAAGCTCACTTACTAAGTTCACTTAATTTGGCTTTGTTTCTGGAGTATGTCTGTGACACATAGGATTCAGCATCTATTTTTTTTATCCCTTCATTTTTTTTTTCCCCATTGCATTATGCAGTGTTCTCCATAAAATGTATTTAGTTTGTGCTTGGAGTTTTGCTTTATCAGTTTTGTTTTACAGATAACATTCCACTTGAGCAGCTGTGTTCTTGAGATGGAATATGTTTTTCAAATGTGTTATTTGAACAGTGTCTAAAAAAGAGCAGTTAAGTTAAAGTCTTTTAGCCAACTGGCCCCACAACCCCATCTCCCCCCCCCCCCCCAAAAAAAAAAAAACCCAAAGTCCTGTAATATTTCCTTCTGTGAATAATAATTTGCAACAGGAATATGTTAATGCATAAGTTAATATTAAATAGCGGAATTATTTTACTCTTCCAGAGTTAAATTATTTGATTTAGTCTAAGCAAAAGACTACTTGTATGAAGCTTGCAATAACCTTTTTAGAGAAAATGTGGAACCTGATAGTTTCTATTGATTAAACATTTCTGTGGCTTTTAGACCAGTGGAGGGGCGACTCCTCCTCTAGCCACAAGGCAATTGCTTTCTTTGTGGCTTATGTATTTTGTCAGTGCTTTTTTCTTCTGCAAATATACATAAAATGGTAAATTCTCTGATGAAATTCTAAATAATGTACCATCACTGGTGCCTGTCTATGTAAAATGTGAAACTCCCTTGGCTTAATTACAGCAGTGAATCAGTTCTGTTTTATGATTCCAATTTAGGATGACAAATGCAGTATTAATAACCAGAATGTTCAGTGCTATTTATTTTACTGCAGGAACTTATTTGTTGGTTGGTATCATTTATGTAACAGTTCTGGTAATACTCGTAGCAGGTCACTGAGCAGAGGTAAGGTGGAAGTTACTTGGTTTTGTTGAAGTGTTGTGGGTTGTAGTAAGAGGAAGAATGATTTACAGTGACTTGTAACAAAAGCAGGCAGTTAGCAGGACAGCAGTTGAACAGGACTGGTAGCCTGAGAAAAATATATGTATGTATATGAATAAGAATACATTTATAGATCACTGAGTTTCTTTAGCTATTGTGAATTGTTAGGGAAATAAAGTTGCACAGAAAATTTGTCATAGCTTAACTAAAGTATGTACAGAACAGTATTTAATAGCCATGCTCTGAACATGCCTGTGTGTCATAACAATATTCTTTATGCTTAGGATGTATTAGAGGTCAAAAGACATTCTAAACATTTGTTCTGTGGCCAAACAGAACTAATTGTTTTTAGAATATGATAAAATTTAACTTTGTTTTCTTATTTCAGTAAAAAATCCCAGAAGTGGGATGAAATGAACATCATAGCTACATACCACCCAGCAGGCAAAGATTATGGCTTGATGAAAATAGATGAGCCAAGTACTCCTTATCACAGGTAGGCTTGCTAAACTGCTGTCCTAAATGATGCCAGGTGACACAGTAGCTGTACAGCAAAATTGACTTTTTAGATTATGCGGTATTTATTATAGCTGATTGGCTGACAGACTGTGCAGGCCTACTAGATATATGCAACATACTCACATTTACAGAGCTTCTAAATAAAGGCTTTTAGCTGTTGAGGAGAACTGTTGAAAAGGATAAAGTCAATTTTTAGGCTGTTTATGTCTATCAGGCTTTAGGCTTTGAATGGAATAAGTCTGACTTGTATTGATTTTATTTATTTTCAGTTAACATCTGTATATTAGAATATAAAGTTGTCATATCAATGTTTAAATTAGATTTGGAAAGTTGTTGAAGTATTAAAGGAGTCTTTTAATTGAATGTTTAAAGGTTTTAACTGTTTTACCAAGCGAATTTTAAGCAGCAAATTATTGATAAAGGCTACTTTTTGTTTGCCCTTCAAGCATGGTAGGAGAAGACGATGAGGATGCAGTGAGTGATTCAGAATCAAATGAGCCCTTAAAAGCAGATGTGTTGAGTAAAAAGTAAGTATTGTCATAGAAAGTTGACTTAAATGTTAAGATAATTTTCTCTTTCCTGGTCAGTTTTCCTTTATGGAAAGGTGTTGCTGACTTCTCTAGAAGTCAGACTTTTACTATTGTCAAATTAAGTAGTTTTCAGTGTTTGATAGCACCGCTGGTACTTTAAACCCCTTGCAGGTTGTTAGTACACATAAATATGGCAAAAATAATGAACAAAGCAGTTTGTATCGGCGTTCTGAAATTTTATGTATTTTAAACAGTGAAAAACTTGCTGTTCAGCATTTTATGTTGCCTGATTTATATAGACTGGCAGCTGCAGCTGAAGGTAAAGGACCCAAGATTTTAGCAAAGCAAGAGGAAAGCAGTGAGGAGGAGGAAGAGGATGAAGAATTAACACCTGAAGAACGAGGTAGGTATAAGTTGGGGTTTTTTGTTTGGTTTGTTTTTCTGACAAATAGTTTCAGTTTTTCAGTAAGAAATACTTGGGAAGAAAAAGTACTATCAGAAAAATGTTGACTTGAAAATAGAGATTGAATAGTCTTTGAAGGGTAAGTAAAAGATTGAACAAATGTGCTGTTTCTAATCATGACTGTTTGGTTCTATTTATAAACAGGAAGTTGCTGTTCCTGGCTGCCCCCTTGTATACAAGCTTAAGGTGTGGGAATTCCTCTTAAGAAACCTAGACTTCTCAAATAAGAAGCTCTTTTGGTTTTAGGGTGAGGGAGTAGTTCTTAATCTGAACATATTTCAGGTAGACTTAGCAACTCAATGAGTACTGCTGCAATTAAGATGCTGCTAATTGCTTGCAAACATACAGATGATATTTCCGTTGTTTTTAAAGCAACTGGTAGATGGATCCAGCAGGAAATCTACATTTGTTCCAAAGCAAATTGCTTCAACAGAGCTGTTTTGTGTTAGCTTGGGCTAGAACGTTTTGAGTCAAACAGTAATACTTCTAAGGTTCCAAGCTTGCATTATCTAGCTGTTGCCTCTCATCTTTCCTGGTTCCCACTTTGAGTATGTAACCTTACTATTCTAAAGGAAGAAAAAAACTGTTGGAGCTGCCAATAAGCAAAGTTTAATTTAATTATAATGCATTACTGTCAAACTTGATAATGTTTAATATATAGAGCAAAGTTAGGCTTCAAGCCATGGAGAAAGTGGAAAATATTTTCTACATATGGTAAATATATTTCTCATAAGTGGCCTTTGGTAGCTAGCCAGGAGTCAAGTTGGATATCTGCAAAAGTTCATCTTCTATTCCACTAATTTGTCCTTAAGTTTACTTAGAAATGAGTCTTGTGAAACTTTGCAGTTTCATATGCTGTTACTAGATGCTCCTCTTTGTTCAGACTTGCTCTTAATTTTCTTTCTTTTAAAAATGCTTCAGCCATTCCAGTACATTAATTACTAGCCTTTTTGTAAGTCAGACTTGTATTAAAGAACACTCCACTGTTTGAATAAGATTATTTTAATTCAGTGATTGCTTGATCACATAAACAATGGACTTTCAAGGTAGGAATAAATTTGTCCTAGAAAGCAGTTGGTTCCTCTCTGAAGAGGAAAGAAGTTGATTAAAAAGAATAAATAAATATTTGCATTTGTTTGTCCGCAGAGAAAAAGAAGCAGTTTGAAATGAAGAGAAAAATGCACTACAATGAAGGACGAAACATCAAACTGGCAAGACAGCTCATTGCAAAAGAACTACATGGTGAAGAAGAGGATGATGACGAGGATGAAGAGATGCACGACGCTGCAGATGTAGAAACAATGAATACAGAATCTACCGAACATGGTGAGCTGCTGATTAATCAAAAAGCGTGTTTTAGTACTGGTGGTCCTTTCAGTGGTTGGGAAATGAATACACTCAAGTGTGAGAATGAATAGAAAGAAAGGGTACAGTATGTACATAAAGCTCAGTGTGCAATATTGCATGCTGTCTTGATAGGTAGAGTTGTAGTACGGTACCAAAACCATTGGTACTGCTAAATAGCATGTGGGCTTTTGTTTGTTGTGAAGTACAGAAAAGCAAACACCTCTGCTTTGTACTATTTCCCCAGCATAACTGACTCTTGGTAGTGAAGTTGACAGCACCCCTTTTAAAGGAAGAGTTGTCTTGTACAGAACACTTGAAGCTGTGCCCACATGGGAGAGCCTGGCCTTACGTTGTGATTCAGTTCCCGTTCTGTTCCCAAACTATCCTGTAGCCAGCAATGGGAAACTAGCTTGAATGCTTCCCTGTTGAGGAGTGTATCGAAATTCCTAAGTAAGAACTTCTGTCTTACTGTAATGTAAAACTGCTGTTAGGACTTCAATACACACTTGCCCTTAAGCAGTAATGTTCACTTCTGTAGATGGGATAAGACCCTCAGCTTTGCTTTTAGTGCATCTACTATAAGAAAGTCTGGGATGTTTAGCTGGGAGCTGTTTCTGGAACATGGCTTCAGGGCTGTCTCTTGATAAGAAACTCGTAGAGCTATAGTGGCTGACACCTTCTCTGTCATCTTTAAGCTTCTCTCTGGGTCAGAAGGGTAGACTGTATAATAACAAAGTCTTTGGTTTTTGTGGTGGCCTTCTGGTGAATAATTCCAGCTGTTCACTACCCACCTCTGTGTGTAAAAGCACTTTGAACAGGTTTTTGGCATTAAAAAAAAATAGACATCTGTTGCTGATGAGACTAGTGGCAATGAAGTCTGTAAGCTTCATTCATCTGTTGCTTGGCAAAGCTATGAGACACTAGCACAATCTGCAGACTTGGGAAGATGCTGCATGGGTTTAACTTGGTTCACATTTGCTTTTCACAACCATGTGAACTAGGAACTCTTCTAAAAGTAGTTTAAATTCCACACTATAAAAATGTGATTTGCGAAGTTGTGTGTTTTAATATTAAGTTCTGTGGATTGCACATTTTAGTCCCATTATTTATTACAGGAGGACTAATGCCTTCATAATTGCTCCGAAGGGGTCATTTGGTATGTGTCTGAGACCCATTAATGGACTGACTTTATCCACTAACTTAACATACGCCTTATGGCTATTTACTAGAACTTCACTCTCCAGGGGAAAGGAGAGCTCCAATAAGCAACCTTATGACCTTTCTCCATGGCTTGAAGCTGCCATCTCTCTGCACTCTGCTGTAAAACAGAGGCAACTCCGCTCCCCAGCTGCATTCGCCAGTGGAAAGAAGGCACACCTTTGCAGCATTTTTCCATCTCTATTGTTGAAGTCCATTCCACCTTGCCTCATAACCAGCTTCAGAGCCACAACTGGTAATTATCAATTTTAGACTGCTCACAGCCAGTAGATTCCATAAACATAACTGTTTGCCAGTTTATCAACCCATTAATTAACTGGTTCACCTCCACACCATGGCATATAGAAATACTTTCCATTAACTTGATGTAGTTCTCAATTCTTCACTTTTGTTTTGTATCATTCTGCTTAAACCTTGATGTTTCATTATCTCCTAATCTCCTATAGCAACTGTCAGCTTTTGGTCTTTGCCTGATCAGTTCTTCTGAGGTTTAAGTACTGGTCTCACTTTTGCAGCAGCTTGTGAATTGAACACCCTCAGACTGATCCATGTGTGATTCTTTGTGGCAGGGTTGGTCAAAGGATGATGGAATATGGACAAACTTTAAGCTGCTCTGTCTTCTGCCACTGCCCATACTTTAAGAAATTCCTACATTGAGATGATAAACGTTCAGCAACATAGCTGTGTTAAACGAAAGTCAAAGTTCTACTGAAATAACTTTTTTTGAGATGACATCTCTTGATCACTCTCATCTGTATTCTGAGGACACAGAAGAATCTCCTTATTCATAAGTTAATTATACAGATATTAGGGCTACAGAATGTTTCTCAAATAGCTGGTTTTAACACTTGCTATTTGGGTGTTTTGGTAGTCTGTGCCTTTATTCATGCCATGCTTTTGGTCATGTTAAGCAACTGGGTATTTAAAACAGTATTTCAATTTGGTCGTTTCCTTCATGGAAGTGGATCAAAATGCTAATAATATTCTTGTTCCTGAGATTCCCCTGTTAGGACTGTAAGGATGTGGAAAGATTATTAACCTGGATACCTTTCAAGAGCTTTTCAACTTCAAATCGTATTCTAAAGTGCTTTCCTATGGAGCAGAAAAGGAGGGTTTTCTTTTTTTAAAGTGTGTTGGGTGATGCAGGAGCTTGTTTCTGTGGTGGCTTATTTTGGCATCACTCTGTTAAACTGACTAACAGCCTTGATGCTTGCTTTTAACTGCAAAGGAAATATCTGTCTTCTTCTGCATGTTGTTTTGTAGCTACATTTTGGTAATTTCTTCCATTTGACTTCAGTTCTTCTGAAGTTATGGAGAGCATCTGGTGATGTGGCTACTACTCACCTATTATGTCTGAGATTGTAAATCTATGTAAGTGAGAGCTGGCATGCAGTGTTTTTTTCTTCCAGTAGAATAACATGACCTCTGTAGTACTGATGATCATTCCGGGTAAAGATGTGATATGAGGCATTTCTTACTGGTCTGTTGTGACTCTAGGGCTCCACTAACTCCTGGGTTGTTTTTCAGGCCGTTTGAGGCCCTCTTCTCATGGGGAAGTTTTTTTATCTGTGAATATCCCTTTACGATTCTGTGCTTTTCTTATCCAGTGTTCTTTTCTACCCCCTAACCATGTCTGGTTTGTTTTTGAGCAAAACTAACAGTACTCTTCTAATTTCTACACTCCCCTTTTGAAGAAGAGGCTAAAGACTTAGGACAGGTTTTTAAGAAGGCTTCTGTCAGATACAACCAAGTCTGCTAATAAAAGTTGCACTTCTTGGTTACAGACTGAGATTTCTTGGTGACTGAAGTGAAGATGGCCAGTCCAGTCAGTAATGGTGAGAACTGTTTGTATATTTTTGCCCTTGTCTTCATTGTGGGCTACCAAGTGTTTTAAACGGATGGGTCATTCCTTTCTTGCCTTGAGTAGCTGTACCTTATCCCATGTGTATGAATTCCAGAAGCCAAGCTTTTTGGTGGAAAATAAAGTTAAAGTTGTAATATACTGCATTAGGACTGTTTGCTTCAGCATTTCAGCTTCTCTGCAATTTCTCTGGCTACTCCCCATTTATGACTCCAGGACCTACATAAATAGACTTTGCCAGCACAAGTGACCTTTGTTCCTCTCCATAAACACTTTTCCTTTAACAATTCTCTGAAATCACTGAAGGCAAGATTCCTGATGTAGGTAGATTTTAAGCATGAGAATTCTGTGACCTGTCTTCTGCTATACAGAAGTATCAGTTGCAAGGGTGTGATCTATGTCAGTTCAATTGACAAGCAGTAAAACTATTGTTCTTTGCTTACGGTTCATTTGCCATTCACTGCTATCATAACCCTGCTCAGACACTGCTCATCAGTTTAGCTCTCAGTTGACCGGGTGTGTCCCTCTGGCCTTGGGTAGATACAGAATACAGTGGTGTGTTCTTAACCACAGTGAGCATCACCCAAAAAATGACTTAAGTGAGAAGGCTGGGAGCAAATTGGTTCTGCTTGTTAGCTATGCTGTTTGCTTGTCAAACTTCACTTGTTACCAAGTTTAACTCATGCCCAAGCTTAACCGGCCTTTTTAAAAGATTATTATCATCTGGAACGTGGTTTTATTTGATCTTTGCTTTATGCCACTGAATTGTCAGGTGTATATATACATACATATATAGACAGAGAGAGAGTGGGCTTTTTATATGAAAAGCACTAATGAGAAGGAGCTTTGTCTGATTTATTGCTGTTCTTTGGCTCAAAACCATGAGTTTAACGACTTCCTGAAAAACACAACAGACTCTGCTCCTTCATTTATAAGCTTGTTTTCTTTTAGTGTCTCATCTGGAATTGAAATTTGAACTGGAAAGTGCTATGCTTGCTTGTGCTTCAAGGAGCTCATATGTTCTGCAAATTGATATCTCTCAACTCCAGAGTTAAATCCTCCCAATTCTAGGGGTGGTGAGCATTCAGCTCTTGGTGTGCTGACAATGGTGTTAGCCATTCCTTCAGAACACAAGGGTGAAATAACTTTTAGAAGCTTCTGCACACTCAAACTAAAAGCTTGTATATTGCTGAGAAGGGTTGGCAAACATTACCTTTGGAGAATCAAAGATGATTTCAGGAAGATACTTGTGTGTGTTTTGAAAATATTCAATGAGTGTGAAGAATTATATGTTTTTTTGTAATCTTTCTCATGCAGCACATGCTACTCGTGACCAGCTGGAAAGTAGAGTACACAGTATAGAAGAAATTTGTCCAGAACTGTAACTGCTTGTCAAAGACACAAATATAAACACCGCTTCATGATTTTTGCAATTAAGGCTCTTAAATATTGAGAAGCATATCAGTTACAATGTTGTATTGCCAAGAATGTTAATTTTAGACTTGTCCATTAGACAGAAAAACCTGTCTAATTGATTTATTCTTGTGCCTAGTATTTCATGGAGAACACTGCTTCATAATCTGTTCAACCAGAATGGCATTCCCTGTATGCATAATGCTGATTATCTTGCGTAATGTACTGTTACTCTTCATGCTTCGGAACAGACAGTATCTCTTGTTTTTTCACTATTTATTCAACAATGTTCTAAGTGTGGTATCTCCTATGGAAAGGTTTGGGATTCAAGAGCCAAACGGTACAGCGTATATCCGATTGACATGCAAGCTATTTATCAGATGTGTTAAGCAGTTTAGAAAGGGATTATTTAAGTCTTACAACTTTGTTGTAAAATGTTGACCTGTTATATAGATTTCAGTATGTTATGACCTGTATTTTCCCAGTTTTTACATGAAGACCTGTATTCTTTTTAAGAGTGGTGTTTGGAATCAGTTGTTTAGTTTCTGACTAAGGTGATACTAATGCCTGGTGGAGGGAATGTTTTTACACTGGAAATGTGTGGACTTGAACGTTGCATTTAACTGTCATTATCTCATCCATTGGGACTGGATGTTTTGCGAAGCTCTCTGGCTTATGAGAACATGGAAATTCCCTCCAACTTTTAAAACTACATTGACTGTCACTCTTCTGGCTCTTGTTTCAAACTTTCGGTCCTTTCCAGTTGCACGAAGAGTGCTTGTGCTACTAGCATCTGAGGAAAAACACCCAGCCATGAGCAAATACACATCAGGACTGTGAAGATGAGCTGAGTTTGGGTTCTGGCTGTTCTTTATACAAGGTAATTGTTGATGATCTCCTACTTATTTGCGGTTGGTAGCCTGCATACTGAAAACCACTGGTCTGAATCTTCCTGTATCCACAGCAGATGCTTTTGTAAAATGAAGGCTGTTTGGAAGAATAGAAGGGAAAATGCCTAATTCAAATACTTGTTTACAGTGTGGTTGTATAGCCCCTGTAAAGAGGGATTTGGAACCTCCAAACTGCTGTAAACAACTTCCCATTCAGTAGAAGTTGATTGGTGAATGTTCCAGTATTCAGAGTAGTTCCTGGGTTTATCACACAAATGAAGTATACAGTTAAGCTTTAGCTTGGTTATGGAATACAGTGTGTATCTTCATTTTGATCTGAATTTGATATGTTGCAAAAATCCATATAGATATATGGATCTATTTTAAAATGTCTTTTTGTCCACTGTATATGTGAAGTTGAATAAAGGAATGAAAGTTATTTTACAGTTATATGCATTCCCAAGTGTGAGCTTTCATGAAACCCAGGGAGATTGAGAGTGAATAAGGCAATAGGATGCTGTCCTTTGACAGATTTGTACATGAATAATTCATTAGAATGGATGCATTGCCAAAGATACCCGTGAGTTGTGCTAATTGGGTGTTGCAGTGTGCCTTCCCCATCTGTCTCTTCTCCTTAGTAGGTAAAAGGGTTGTTGGTTGTGGGATATTTACTCTTCTAAGGGCCTGAATCAGGATTAATAGCATCTTTTCACAAGAAAGAGTTGAATTCTTGATTCAGTCCAGAGTGGTGATGCCAGTTTTTCAATATGGAGAATTCTGTTTCTTCCTATATCAAACATGGTCATTTCTATAGATTAAACAGGGGCAAAGCATTTAAATACTTCTGATTCCCAAAGTCACTTACTGTAGCTTTTAAATTTGCCTCCCAAGAATAGGATTTCAAACCTTAAAGTTTGCTCCCTTTATATACCAGCTTGCAGTGTTCTGCCTGTTGGAATGTCTGTGCTGAGCTGTATTTCAGACTGAGCAGCTGACAGCCTGGCCTGCCCCAGCAGGGCAGTTCGGTCCTGCTGAGCGCGGCAGCACTCAGCAAAGCCCTGTTACTTTCAGACTGGGGTGTGAGCGGGCCAAGATCTGACCAATGTGTGTGGGTAAAGCAGGTGTCTTCTATGATGCTGTAAAACAGACTATTGGTACTTTGTGATAAGTACAGGTGGGTACTTCATACCCACAATTACGGTGTAATCCATCAGAAGCAGCTCTTACATGAGCTAATGACCTGCCCTCTTTGCCCCCACGCTTTCTGCGTTCAAGACCTCATTTTCATTTTGGTGCTCAGCAAGGGTACTTTATACCCTACAACGCCTGCAAAGCATTTTGTTTAACAAACAGAAAAAACTTTTGCTAACTTCCAGTTAGAGACCTTTCCTGTAATGGCTTCCAACATCCTGGATGAAATGGGTATGCAGCTTTGAGGGAGGTACAGTATACATAAATGCATGAAGATGGTTTTAAGTGAACCTCAGAACGTATAGTAGGTCCCTTCATCAGTCAGATGATTTTGAGCTGTTTGGGTGATCTTCATTTTTCTGTGCCACCAAGCCCCCAAGTTTTAGTAAGATGCCATTTTGGAACTTGTACTAGTTTTAGTTACGGGTTTTATTAAAGGATTTATTCTCCTTCATGCTCTTCAGTGCTAGCAATAATTCTGTTTGTGCTTCTTCATCTTGCTCACCTGGAGTGCAGGCCGATGTACCTGATACTGCTTTTAACTGAAAGGCTGCTTTACTTTATTTACTTCGTGTGTTTTAATAGCTAACCCAGGCAGGTTTACTTTGCAGTAAATACAGATAGCTTTTTTTGCAAAAGGATGTCTGATTTCCTTCTATTCTGGATATATCAATTATGGTTCCCTGCTGAATGGAGACAAGGGAAGAAAAGCCTTTTCTCTTTTTACATTTGATGGATTGCATGCACATCTTAATTTTGTGGTGCATATGGTAAAATTTCATTTGTATAGTAAAAAGTGGGGTAAAGAGGAAACAAGACATGCAGCCCTTACTAATGTGGACATTGAGCTCCACAGCATCATAATTCTGAAGCTTCTTGCACATGTTTAAGTCCTCAAGCTGCATCCTGTTGAGAAAAAAATATTTTCAATATGCTTCCAATAGGAAGATCACTTGCAAATAAGAGCCTTAACTCTGTCTTTAAAGTTCTTTTTCCTGTCCTTGAAGTTTCTTTCACACTGAGTTGTATGCAGTTTGTGGAAACTGCAAATATTTTTTTTCCACAGCTTGTTCTTGTGTTAAACTTGTATATCTTTCCAGAACTCTGTTTCTGTAATATGCTTTCTGTGGTGTTTTATTATACCACCTCACAAATGTAATTATTCTGTTTGAAACCAGTGTTAAGTGTCACAAAGTAAATAAACCATTGTTTTCATTAGTGCCCTATGGCAGTAATACTAGATGTATTGGTTTGAATTCTTGTAGCTTTTTAGAAGAAAATGGCAGCTACTGTAAAGTTTGCAGTGTTCATAGATGAATACTTCACCCAATATTGCAATTTCCTCATCGCTGCAAACAAGGAAGTACGCTTTAGTGTGACTTCGATATACATCAGTTTGTACATACTTTCAGATTTTGTAGTTGCTTGGCTACCTCCATGTGAGGGTGGATCTGGGGACCTGAATCATGAATTGAAGTCAGCAGCACCACACCAGAGGTTGCATTTTTCAAGGTACTTTTTGTGCGTTGAAGGATTAAAGCAAGACTGGGCTGTCTCCTCGTGGTCAGCACTGACTAATCACTTACTAGCATTGAGTAAGGGAAGATGACTAACACTAACTCCTTAGGAAGTAAAACTGTATTCCAAAACAAAAGAGCTGGGCTCTCTTTTCAATTGCACACTTCAGTTGAAAAGTAGATTTCACCATGTGAACGCAGCCTCAGTGATACAAAACTTTTAATTTGCTGCTGTTTCTGTGTGGGTGTGATGGATGTGCTCGACTCCTTAACCAAACTGGCACTAGTTGGGTTACTTTTGGTGAGGGACGGCTCACAAAAATATACAATCATTGCATCTCCCTCACTTGCAGTTTGAATTGGACATTTCACCAGTCTTAAGAAAAAAAAAAAAAAGCCTGAAACCCTAAACTGCAAGTGACTGAACCAAAAAGTGTCCCTTTGCTTCTGTGAAAGGACACTGTAACTGAGGGAGGGACAGTAAGGGTACAGTGGGCATTCAACTTTGAAAGAAAAGAAGTCTTATGTTCCCCTCCATCCTTCCATGTTGACTGTTTGTCCAGGTGTGAGCAAAAGGCAGTTGGGGGAGAGAGTACGGGGAAGATAAGAAAAAAGGAAAGGGGGGGGGGAAATAAAGGTGAAGCTTGGTACAGGTGCTGGAGCACTGGAGGGAGGGTGTGAAGACTTGAGGGTGTGAGCAGGCTTCCTGGGAGCTGGTACAGCAGCTCCTCAAACTCCTGCAGCAGCCCGGAGTGAATGTCATCCTCTGCAGTCAGCTTCCCAGCATGGTGTCCATGTAACTGCAGGACAGAGCCTGTGACTAGGTGTGACACTGCTTCATCTTTGCCAAGTTTAAGTTGAATAACAACTTATGCTCCTCAGTCACTGCCTTTGAGGATGACTGGGGAGGGCTGACACTCTCTTGCCCTTGTCATTTTTCTATCTGGGAACACTAAGCAGTGCCAAACTTAAGGCTGTTTTATCTTAAGGGGTCAGAAACCCACCAATGTTCAGCACTCCTTCACTACAAAGGGGGAGAGGGCCACCATGGTCCTTTTCACTCTGTGAAGCAGCTGTCTTGCTGTCTGGAAAGCACTCAAAAAGTATTCAGACAAATGATCTGTACAAAACCCAAACGTGCACACTTGACACTCTTTGCACAGAAAAAAGCCTGCTGGTTGCGCTCCTTCAAAGACAACTCTGACTCTTCCCCCAAGTAACGTGAAGCGACAGTTATTTTCAAGATCCAGATCTGAAACACCCCGGCGCGCACCCGGAGCTGTAACTTCTCCACGGTGCCTCGCAGCTGCTGCTGCCCCCTCAGCAGGCGCCGTCACCGCCCCGCGGGAGCGTGTGCGCCCTCCCACCGCAGCCACCGCCTCGCCTCCCGCCGCGCGGCCCGGTCCCCGCCCGGCCGGGCCGGCTGCCCTCTCCAGCCGCCGCGGCTCCGGGGGGCGGCGGGCCTCACCTGCTCAGGTGGGAGCCGGGCCGGGCATCCCCGCGCGTGCCTCATCCCCAAGGGAAACGTTCTGCTTAATTAGCGGCTTTAATTTGAGTTTTTTGAGAAAAAAAAAAAAAATAATCAGTTACAAGCGATGAGCTGGGCATCGCCCGGTGAGCGCCTCACGCACCGCCCGCACAGCAGCAACGCCAACCGCCCCGCCCCCGCGCCGCGTCATCCGCCGTGAGCGACGGGCGGGCCAGCCTATCGCGGCGCTGGAGCCGCCCTCTCAGTGCTTAAGAGCGCTGGGATTGGTCTTCCGTGTAGGCGTGGCGATGGGGGCTGCCAGTTGGTGGGAGGCCAATGCCGGCTTTTCCGTTGGTTTACCGGGCTGTCACTTTTCAGGGCGCCCGCTGAGGAAGTAATCCCTGCGGCACCCAGCGGTTGGCTGCCTCCCCGGAGTGGCCCACTTATTGGGCGGTCTTCCTGTTATGCCCGCCCTTCTCGCCTTGTGATTGGTCAACGCCCTCCCCGCCTCCTGCAACTGGACGGGGCCGACTGCCCTAACTCCGCCCGAGGCCCGTTTGGGGGAAGCCCCGCCTACGCCAGCGTCTTATTGGCTGTTTCCGCAGCTGGCCGTCGCCCGTTGGCTGGCTGTGCCGTCAGTGGCGGCCGGGCGCGGGAGGCGGGCGGAGGGGCTGCTCGGCGCGGCGTTCCCGCCGCGGTCGCCCCGCTGCGCCCCCGCTCCGCCATGAGCACCGCCCCCGCCTAGCCCCGCCCGGGGCCCGCCTCCGCCTCGCCTCGCCCCGGGATCGCCCCGCCGCCGCCGCCACCAGCAGCAGCAGCGGAGGCAGCGGCGCGCCCCGCGGCAGGGGAAGATGAAGGTGACCGTGGACTTCGAAGAGTGCCTGAAGGACTCGCCGCGCTTCAGGTGCCGCCAGGAAGGGGCCGGGCCGGCGCCCGGGGTGTTGTGGGCCGCGTAGGGGGGGCGGGAAGTGGGGCTGGGTGCCTGCCAGGTGGGGAAGGGGCCCCGGGGAGTGACAGGTGGTGGTGAGGTGCGGGTATCCGGCTCGGAGCAGGGGGGCTGTGGCGGGGAGGGACTGGCGGCGGGGGACGGGGGTTTGAGGAGCGCGGGGTGTCAGGGCGGGGGCAGTGGGGATGTGTAGGACAAGGGGCCTGCTGGGGTGTGGGGGGACTTTGAGGGGTGCGGGAGGTGGGGAGTGCGAGGGAAGGGGTCAGCGCGTGTAGGGGGTGGGACTGGGTGGGCCGTGCGTGGGGTCTGGGGCTCGTGTGGAAGCAGCACAATCTGCAGGGAGCACTGTTGGGGGCACCTGCATCGGAGCAGATGGTGGGGGGTGAAGGGTGGCAGGCAGCTGGTGCAGGAATTGCTCCGCAGCCAAAGCGATGCCTGCTCAGGCTCCAGAGTGTGCGCTCCCCGGTGGTCCATCTCCAGTTCTTCAGAACTGTGCTCTCACTTTAGCATCCAGCGTCTGCTGCATGTGTCTGTACTCAGTCTGCCCACTGTCGGGGTGCCAGTACCAAATAAACTCAGTAGAATCTTACTTCCCGTTGTCAGACCAAGGCACGTACTCTTTTTGGTTTTCCCCACTTGAGTGACTACTCATCTCTCATTGCTGTAGATTACTTCTGCTTACACTGGGCAACTTTTCCTTTCAGCCTTCCCCATGTTTTTATCCACTCTGTAGATATATTTTCCAATGTTGTATCTACTCAAGCCTCTCTGTTGGATGCGTGGCTGGTCTGTGCACGTTGGCCCACTTTCTGTGCCTGGTATCACCTTGCTAGCTGATGGAGAGGCAAACAGCTCCGTGACTTGATGTGATGTGTCATTGCGGTGCCCCTCCTGTCCCGTACTGAGCCCATGTTTGAAGTGCCTGTGGCTCTGTGGTTGGCACAGTCTGGGTGAGCTCTAGCTGTTGAGGGAAATAGTCCTGTTCTTCCTCTGGTCTCTGGCTGTGTGTTCACGCCTCTTTGTGTCGGATTTAGCAATCGTGTGGTTCTGGGATGTGGAGGAAGTTGAAGAAGAAGGTTTGAATGGCTTACTACTGACAGAAATTGGAGTTCCTGTTTCTTCCTCCTTTGCTCCTGTCGCTACTGCCAGCTTGTCCTTGGCTGCTTCTGCCACGTTTTTTTTCTGGTGACTGTGACTTGTATTGTTGGATCCTTCAGTGGGCGAGCTGCCCTGGCAGAAGAGACTGGATGGTTTCAGCTAGGTTTGTGAGCTGAGTCAGTGTGAAATCTACTAAAGCTTCTGGGGAGGATGAAGAGGAAAATTCACTGCCAGAAGCAAGGCTAGAGGAAGACAGTGGGGAGTGAGACCTCTGAGGCAGCAGGGAGCTTTTACATTGGCGTAGCTGTTCCATAAGAATTTGTCCTGAGTTAGACATGCTTGCTAGTATATGTACTTTCTGGCACAACTATGTTTAAAGTGGGTCCAGTCTATTTGGTGACAATGCAGTCTCAGATTGGCTTAATGTAACCACAGACCTATACCATTAAATATAATCTTGTTGGTGTTTTTTTTTTTTTTTAATTACTGATGCCTGCTGAAGTATAGAATACACTTGAGAAAGCAAGAAATTGTGACTAAAGTGTGTGAGCAGAAGTGTGCTTCTCTCTATTCAAGTTAAGACATACTAGTTCAATTGAGCTCACTTCATAGCATTTTAATTTTGCCCCTCCTCCTTCCTTTACTTCAAGGAAAGAAACTGTGGAAACCCCTTTGTCAGGGTCTTCTAGTACATTATGGTCTTTCTGACAGTCTCTGATACTACTACCTTTGAAGAAATTGCAGAAGACCTTATGGTGTAATCACTTGATACCGCACAAACATCTTTCCAACCTTTAACTGATAGGAAGTAGTTAAAATTGTGAAGCAAAAGTCCTGTAGTATTCCTGAAAAAAGTTAATATCTTTCATTATTATTTCATTATTTGCTGTTATAACTTTGGTCATTCTTAGCATCCATATACTAGAAATCTTCTAAATGAGGTTTACTGCAGTTGTTTTATTAAGGGATGGTAGAGACATTAACGTAGAGCAAGGTCATTACAAGGTCCTAGCGTTCTTGCATGGAGTAGTGTGGACATAAAGCACCTTCTTGTGCTGCACACCTTATCTTACAGCAAAGCAGAACTGCAGCTTTCTCCTGACCTTGCTGAGCAGGTGGGTGTAGTCTGTCCTTCCCATCAGTATACCTGTTGGAGCAGTTAAATAAATGTCTTGGGAGGCATGTAGTGTAGTATAGAAATGTCACAGTTTACATTCTTATAGTTGTGGAGAGAACTGGGAGGACATGGGTGAATCAGAGTTCCTGAGTCACCAAATCCCTCTTTTCACAGGGAGCTATTTAAATCTTTTAAAACATGCTACTACATACTGCTTAAGACAGATGGCTTTCTTGCTTATCTGTTTCTGACAGAGTTCACGGTATATCTTTTTTGGCTTTGAGATGTATCTGGGAATATCATAGTTACCTGAACCAAAGAAATAAAGGTTTGTTTGCTTGCTGTCCTATGAAGGGAGCATGGGTTGTCGCTGTTGAATTGCTGATATGTGATTAGATAATAATGGCTATAAGGATTCACATCAGAAGTATGGTGGGTTTTTTCATAGTAAGGCATGCTTTTCTCCCCACTCCAAATAGATAAAGAAATCTTTGAATTATAAAGCCTGAAGTGCCGTTGGTCTACTGTATCACTAGATTTATAAACTTATGACATACCAGATGAGTTTCGGGTTGGAAACTTGAGGTTTAGAAGCTGATTTTGAAAAGGGTAATGGAAAAGGCTGTGAATTCAGGCACACTTTTGCAAATTTGCAATCATGTTAGGTTTTTTTAAACCTACTTTGAAAATAATCTTGCTGAAATCACATGCTTTTCCTTCATGAATCCCTCTCTTAAAGTATGGACAAATGAATGATCTACCAAGGAAATGCTTTTTGCACTTCTCCTACAGTGTGTTGATGACTTCCCATTAAAGGGAGGAGCCTTGGAGCAGTCCTTGAGTAGTAAAAACTGAGCTGTGCTGGCAAGCTCTATGTATATAATCAGGAATTCCTGGAGTGGTTTTTTTATATGCAAATAGTATTGTGAAATAATACTTTCTTCTAATCTGTAAACAATGAGGATTTCAGTTTCATAGTTTAATGGAACAGGCTTTTACACTGATGTTTCATTTTCATTTTTTCTTTTAACTGAAGAATGTTTTCTCTTAATGAGTGAGGTAGGCATTGTAGCAGCGACATGAATCACGCCAAACCTAAGTTTTTAGAAAGGAGAGGTAAGTTTAAGTGATGTGGAAATATATCTGCTGCAAGTAGTAGTTAATAATCTTGATAAACAACAAGTAATAGAAAAAGCAAAGTTCTGTTGCTTGTGACGTGCAACTTTTAAGAAATCTCTAGAAAAACCTTTAGTCTGTTCCAGTCTTTACATATGCATCAGTAAAAAGCTGTGTATTTTTGAAATACTTTATTTGTCTTTACTTGTCACTGTTATTGAAGTTTAAATTTTTTTTTTGTGTTTAATTTTGTATTGACTTCCTGAGACTCCAGCTGCAGAACAGATGATGGATGAGCAAGGTAGATGAAAGAATATAAATGAAACTGTTGCCAAGTACCATTCTTAGTAAAAGTATGTCATGGGTAGTTTCTGGGTTGAACTGGTGGTTATAGTGTGCTGCCTTCAAAGGGACTTGTCTGAGGAGTCTTCCATTCAGACTGAGCTAAAGCCTTGCGTTGTGTAGGCAGGCCTGCAGTGTAAGTAAGAGTGGCTTGTCACCGCAGTTCCCTGGTATGTGTGTTGGTTTTCTTCTGTGGCTTTGATTCTGGCCTCTCTAAATGGGGCCAGCTGAGATGCACCTCATGGGTAGACTGGGGATGCAGGCTGAATAAGTTGCTCATGCCACTTTATGGCTTTCTAAATGTATGAGTTTTTTTCCTCTCTTCATTAGTACTGTGTAACCAAAGTTTAGTCTCTAAGCATCTGTTCCCAGGTAACAGGAAGTGTTTTGTCACTGTAAAATATGAGTAATGTAAGCAAGTGACTTAACCTATTTGGAATAGGTCTTGTTCTTGTACCTAGCTGTTTTAGGAGGAATTTCCAAAGAAATGTTTGGTCTGGGCTTTCTGCCCTTGGTGTTTGGGACTGAAAAGCAAGTTTGTAACTTATTTGGCAAGGCTGGCTGGAAAGTATTGCAGAACACAAAAGAAAGAAGTCAAAAGAGGAAGCTGCCAAACATTTGCTTGTAAGTTTGCATTTACCATTTTTCATACTTATGTGGCTGTTACGTTTATAATTTCCAGTATGCAACTGTAGAACAGCAGTTTTCATAGCTGAAGTGTAGTGACCTGGAGGACAATCTTAGCGGGATGCTGATGAGTTACATGTGTACAACATCTCAGTCCATACTGCTAGGAGTCTGATGGAGTTAGTTAAACAGAGTGCTTCTAAACTTCTAATTCTTTGCTTCTGTGGAGATTACAGTGAATGTGCTTTTCTACTCAGACTGCAGTCAATGATTTATTTATCTTTAAATCTGTGACTACATCTTTCAACTGTACATTAAGAAAATAATTGACCTAAAGAAAGGGATGCATAGGATGGTAAGACCCAATGTCAGATCCTTTTCTTCTAGGGTAATCATGCTAGAGTGAAGAAGTTTCATCAAAGATCCCTCTGGAATGTATTTCATCAAAATCTCTCACACTGAAATCTTTTAAAGCCTTTTCAAGTTAAATAGTAAGTTGTTACAATCCTTCCTAATGGAGATTAGAGAAATGTGTCCTGAAATCAGGTTGTCTTGATTTAGTTTACCTAAATTGTTTTAATTAAAAAAAAACCCAAAGTTGGATGTCATAATTATGAATTATAAAGGTCACTTTTTTTTAATGGTGATCCTGATTCTA